GCTGCGACCCCTTCCTTCTTTTGTAACCTTAAAGGATCAGCTCCTAATCCCATTAGGAGTTGCTGATCCAAATCATATTTGGATCAGACATCCCTTTAGGTGATAAGGATAAATCCTTATCTTATCTGCAGATTAGATTAGCTTTCTCCTAATCTCATTAGGAGGTTTCCAGATCTAAATCACATTCAGATCTAGACTCTCTAAGTGGATAGGGTTAAGACCCTATCCTATCTGCTAATCCATCACAGAATTCGCCCCATATTTAACTAATTAAAATAGCCTAGTTTGAAATGGGCTTTAGGCCTATTAAGGTCATGTGCTCACTTAGCCTTCTTAACTGCTACACAGTTGGGCTTTCTTGTATGGCGTGGGACCCAAGCATTGATCTACACATCAGCAACATGGGTTCGGCCCAGCCTTTGTTACAAGGCCTAGCCGAATACACTGTTATGGACAGTGCACCCCTAAAACCCATGACATGGGCTCTATGGGCCCAACACTTACCCTAAGTGGTCCTTGGGCCAAGCCACTTTGTAACACCCAAGGACTGGGTAGATGCAAGATTAGCCCATCAGGCATTATCTTCAATAGTCTTACACTCAACATTTCAACCCATAATGATCAAACACTGCCCGACAAGAGAGGACCTCTCCCTCGGCTACAAGGAACAGTGTTGCACTCTCTGCTTAAATGGATCCCGGGAATTAAAACCTTCTTGCAAACATTTTGGAAACCATAATGTATATATATATATATATATACATTTGATATCTCATAAAATATATTTTGCAAAAACAAATCTCAACGATTGAAATTGGCTGTCGGCAGTCTTGGTTTCCATCGGTGAGAGTACATCCCCGATCATTACCTTTGTTCGATAAAGGGGTTGATCCTGTCACTATGATCACCCACTCAGATGAATTCTCAAACTGTCCCAACATACCCAGGTTTTGACTCCCGCTAAGGATCTCACTGATTGGTACATCAAAGACAGCCCAATCCAACACCTAGTGCAGTATCATAATCGAGTCTAGGGGTCGGGTGTAACTTTCCAGTCTTGCCCATTAATCATCAAGGTTCAGGGCAATACTGGAAATTTGGTCCGGTTCAAAGATTCAATTAATCCTACACTACATGTACCTTGGGTCTCACCCTAGTGGCTGAGACAGGCCACCCCAACCGAATTGGCGGCACATCAATGTCAGCCCTATTAGGATAGGTCTCCCCAGACCGACCCACTGGCTGTGAACATTCTAAACTAACAAGAGTTTCATTAAGTGTCAAACATACCAAAGGAATATGAATCAAATATGTACTTTATTCATTTACAATAAACTCATAATGTACATAATTTTGATTGAAGATAAGGGCATACAAAAACTGTCTAACAGCAAGATCCTTTAATTGGAAGTTTCCAAATTTTTCTCCACAATCTGAGAATGAAGTAAAGTAAAAAAAAAAAAAAAAAAAAGATAAAAAGGAGAATGATATTGTTTGTCTATAAAGTCTAAAATCTCATGACTTCTCATCAAATAAGCTACACATTGCTCGACATGAGGCTTATACACCGGTTAGGGGCGGCAATTTTTTGACACAACCCTCTAATCCACCCAATCCACCCATTAATTAATGGTTTGGGTTGTAATCATTTAGCCTAGGTCAGTAGTGGGATGGTTAATCTAATAAAGTACTATTTAATGGGTTGGGTTGGGCTTGGTCATGGTTATCCMATGGGTAACCACTATTCCCCCCTTCTCTTTCTCTCTCTACTCATTTTAATTCTACAGTTCTACTCTTTCTAGCACAAGATCAAGTCATTTTTTTTTTTCGTTCTACTATCTTACTAATCCATCCCATCCGAACACCAATAAGGAATTGAAAACAACAATTAGAGCATGTGAAGACTAACAAATTTTCATTCTTTCTATTCTTATATTTTTATTATTTTTCACCTGACTTTCACAAGAGTAGAGGTGTAAATTGGGCCATGCCAGGCTGGCATGACACAACTTGGTCAGTTGCCAATGTTTATCGGGCCTATGCGGGTCGTGCCTACCTCCTTTGGGATCCTTAAGAGGTTAGATCCGACATGGCCCATGGCATGAGCCCAAGCAGGCTTGGGTCATTTATGAGTTGGTGGATCACCGCCGTCGTAATTTAAAATAGTGAAAATTTTTAAATTAACAAAATAGACAAAAAATTGAAAATTTTTATATTAATATATAATTATATTATATATAATTTTTATTAAATATACATATATATATATATATGTATATAATTCTATAATTATTATATATAATAATATATATGGGTTGTGCTGCAAGCCCATGGCAGTACGACCCACTTTGTCATGTCATGCCATGCCAGCCCACATGCCTGAAAATCAGAGCCCGACACGGCCTAGAGTATGAGTTAGGCCACAGCATGACCTGCATGTTACAATAATGGGTCTGGCCCGACATGGCCCGATTTACACCTCTATGCAAGAGTCTTCATCAATTGGTGTTGAATAAACCTTTTCATGAGTTGCATTTCGTCGATTCGGATCAAGATTTGCCTTTTTATTAATAAAAAATGTCTAGGCCTGAATTCAAGCCTGACCCTAATATAAAGCCCAAAGCCTAGTTTGAACATAAAATCTCTTACCTATGGTGTAATTTTTGTTATTTTTATTTTCTATGTTTATTTAATCTTTGTTATATTTTCCTATAATTTTTGTTATTTGTTTCAATTTCTATGTTTATTTATAACTTTTTTTTTATATTTTCTTATAATTTTTATTTTTATGTTTTTTATAATTTTTGTTATATTTTCTGTAATTTATATATAGAATTAATGGGTTGGGCRGGTTGGATTAGATTAAGGAGGTTTTAGGTTAAACCCAACCCATTTAAATTTCCTTACTGGGTCAATTACGAGTTGGCAATCCAAACCAAACCGAATCCAATCTAACTCGTCCAATTGCCACCGCTAACTATGATGTGTCATCAC